AACTAAGAGTGACTATAAGTCTAAACAACCCAAGGGTTTAGTCGATCATGACTATGAACCCAAAGAATACTCATATTGTGATTCACGTCATTAAAATGCTTTATAGAATTCAATCCACTGATTGAGAGTTGGATGTAGTTTGCATGATCAAATGAACTAGTATAAAAAATTGTATTTACTCTTTTTCTCTAACCATTTATTAGAATTGTGTAATTTGTATAATTAGATTTAATTATCAAGGTTAAGACGTGATAATGCAAGGAGAGCAACTAGGTGCAACAGTTCATGAAGTGACAAAAAGCTCAAATTGGTACAAGGCACTTGAGTGTTACATGCATTACAAAGTTCGACTTTTCTTAATGTTGTTTATAGAGTCATTTAGGAAGCTCTAACAATATAACAACAACATAAACTTTTCATAATTTTACATTAATTTCAATATTTAATGTAATTACTAGAGCAAAACGTAATCACTAGAGCGATTTAATTAATGATACGCTAGTTTTACAAGTGCAGAAAAATCCTTTTATACCTGTTAAAAAGAGTTTTTATATCAATTATGGAACCAGTATAAAAGTAAAAGGTATATAAAATATTGACATTTTATACCGGTTTAGAAAGTATCACTTTTTATATCGATTAAAGGTACAACCAGTATAGAAAATTTTGTCTTCCTCTCTTACCAGCCAAAATTAAGGCAACCACATTCAAAACCCTAAAAGCTTTAACTTTTTAATTCCCCTCAAAGAAAAAAGATAAAATAGTTCTTGTAACATTACAAAAGTTTTCTCTCTAATGTATTGATAAAGAAATTTTTAATCCCTGAAAACGGAGTCAAAAACTTGTTAAGACCTCGGCAAGTGTAGCAAATCGTATCAAGTAATAATAAATGGTAAGACCAAGTATCGTTTCCCAAGAGACTCACGACACTAAATAGTTATGTGATTACTCAACTAATTAAGACTCTAAAGAACAAATTTTGGGGTTTTTGAATGCAAATGCAATAAAATAAACATGAATTCAATTTGATCAATTGAGGCTAAACACAAGAATGAATGGATGAAGTTGATAATATGAGATGAATATGTTATTGGGATTTAGATTTCACCTAGTCTACTCTCATGCATATATGAATTCATCTTCTTCATTAATGTTAATGCCACTTTCTAATTTACTTTAAACCTGATGTCTCAGTGAAGAAAGCCTATCCTTAATTACTAGTTTACAATGTCTTGTCTTCCTAGCAATTAATTATGCATTACATTCGCACAGAAGCTTAAAGGCAACCGATCCTCCTATTCCTATGTCTACGTAATATTGCTTCAGGAGAATTCCCCAGATCATGATTTGTAAGATATCTCTTAATAACAATCCTAGGGAGAGAAGAGGAGAGCTGTCACATCCCCAAATTGTCCAACCCTAGGAGTACGAAATCTCCCGATACTTACAAATCATAATATTTATGCCATACATGAATAAAACATCACAAGCATTTGAGCAAAGAAGAATATCTCTTACTATTAATGAAAGAAGCTTATATCTATATTAAGAATCAATTCAAATACAAGAGAGTTTAGAGGTTACATCTTTCCCAACAACAAATAAGGTTTAGTTCTCCATCGTCATGTAAGAACTAGATGAACAATGGAATGAAAGAATGTAAGAGATAGAAATTCCCTAGAAAGAGAAGAGGAGAGCCATCACCATCTCCAAATCTACCCCCAAGGGGTGAAAAATGTGTTTATGTGCTCAAGCCATCAAAAGATACAATCCCAAAGACGTGCAAGTCCTTAAATAGAATATAAAAATAACAGAAAACAGGTCTAAGCCCATAAAAATAACAGAAAACAGGTTCAAGCCCACGTTGTCGGCGCTCAGCACCAAAATGACGCTCAGCGGTAGCTGCGGCACTCAAAACTGGCACTCAGCGCAACTTTTTCTGCACTCTGGTTGACTTTTCTGCACTATGGTTGTCTGGTTGACTTTTCTACATTATGGTTGACTTTTCTGCACTCTGGTTGACTTTTCTGCATTCTGATTGACTTTTCTGCATTCCAACCATTCGGTACTTTAACTCTTCTTTCAAATCTTTCCAATAGCCTACAAAATTAAGGGAATCTAGCACAAAATCATTAAATTCACCTTTAACTCTCTTATTCACAAAATTAAGCAAAAACATGAGTTAAAGCAAGTTTCTAAGTCAAAAATGGTGTTTTTAATATCAAAATCAAGTATAAAAATAACGGTTTTTCAACCGTTATCATGTATCTAAAAGAGGGAAAAATTAATTTTTTCTCATATGACGAACGAGGAAGACACATCGTGGTCCAATTGAAGGAAAAATAAACACTTGTATCCTCATTTGTGGCAGTTACGGGGGTTTCAATGAAATGCATGACATCAAATCTAGGTGTAAATTTCTCAGTCGAAGAAGATGATGAATTATGCGAGTAAGCGTTCTCACTAATTCTCCTATCATCCTACAAAAAAAAATAAGCTTCAAACAAAGAACACTGAAAAATGTTTCTTTTACAAAATAATAATATCTAAAGCTTATGTTGGACATTGAAAATGGCAAAACTTTTTGGGAACTTAATGGGTGGAGGAATATAGAGAGGTGGTGGCGGCGAACACAGTGGCGACATAAGTTTCGAAGCTAGACAACAACCTTTGCAACAAACCAAAAGTTGGTTTTAAAGCTAAATATGCTATCATGGAGGAAGGTACAGGTAAAGGGAGAAGCTGAAGGAGATTTCACTAGTGACCATGATGAATAAGCCCTCTAGAGGAAGAACATCTTGATGGGCGAAAAGTTTCATCATTTAAACTTTTCTGGAAAGTTTGAGAATGATTTTCAAGAAAATGAATAGTTTGAATTAGTGAAAACCACTTTTTAGAATTGGAAATCACTTTCTATACTAGTTATAATTAAAATCGATATAAAAAATTTTATTGTTTATTACAAAAATGTCACTGCATAACCGTTTATACTTAGAATCGGTATAAAATATTTTCTTATTTATTACAGAAATGTCGTCATGCTTACTTTTTACACCTTTTATAACAGTAATTGATATAGAAAGTTTTCTTCTTTATTACAAAAATGTCATCGCACCTACTTTCTATACATGCTATAACTATAATTAGTATAAAAAGTGTTATCTTATTTACGGGTGAATTTCAACCGGTATAAAAAGTCACTAAAAAAATATTTTTTTAACTTGCTCAAATCATTTAGATACCAAATGTTCAAAAAGAAGGAAATGAGAGACAAGTGTAGAGATGATTCATAAAAGAGTTATAAGGGAAAGTATTAGTTCTTATGCTTCTCCTTTGGTGGTGGTAAAAAAGAAGCACGACTCCTAGAGGTATTGCGCAGATTTTAGGAAACTTAATGCATTCACCACAAAAAAAATAAGTTAAAAAATGAAGTTTCCTATATCTAACATAGAGGACTTGGTGGATGAATTGAATATGACATGCTATTTTTTTCAAATTGGATTTCAAAAGTGGCTATAATCAAGTCAAATTGATTGATAGGATATGTACAAGACAATGGGGTTGTTTTGCCTTTCGTTTATGTAATGCACCAACTACATCTTAATCACTCATGAATGATATCTTCAAAAGTTATTTAAGGAAGTTTATCTTTTTATGGTGACATCTTAGTTTACAAATAGACTTGGAATGATCATTTGGAATGTTTGACTACAACATTATAGATTTTGGAGGAAAGTGGCTTGGTTGTAAAATATAAAAACTGTAGTTTTGGAAAGAAGAAAATATCATATTTAGGGCATGTGATTTCAAGTAACAAGATACAACTAGACGAAGGCAAAATTTCAATAGACACACTATACCCCTGTTACTTATGTACTTTTTATAAATCAATTAGTTTTAAATAATGCTTAATTACTTTTTTGTTATTTAATTACTTTATTACATTTTCTTTTTCATTGCAATAATCAATTTAATTTATTTTTTAATTATTAGAACTATATAATTTTGTTTTTTCAATCAAATTTTTACGATATTGTTTTCAAAATTTTGAATAAAATAAATAAAAAATAAAAATGGTTGAATTTAATCTATTTAACAATTGAATAAATAAAAATTAAATGGATTAGAAAAAATTGTTGATAATTAAAAATAATAAATATAAATATAAATATAATTAAAAATAAAAGTAATAAAAAATTTTTAATCTCTATTATTATTTACTTGTGAAAACACATTTATTACTGTTAATTTTTTTATGGTAATTAAAAATAATAAAATTATTATTATTATTAATATGAAATTAAATATAAATAATTTCTATAATTTTATTGTAAATAGTTGTTATTTATTTTAGATTTAATTGCTTACTGAAAATTTAAAATAAACAATGATTAAAAAAATGAAATTGATAAAATAATTATTTTATTTTTAAAAATAAAACTAGAAAACAAATATAAAAAAATAAAATTGGCCAACCGAAATTTAATACAAGGTTTATTTTTAACAATTTCATTAAATTTAAGTAACAAAACAGAGAGATAAAATTATTTATAGTAATAAAATTTAAAATAATGCATACATATATTATTAAAACAAAAATATATATAACAGATAACTCATAAATAATTAAATACTATTCATTAAAATTTATAAATAATTAAATACTATTCATTAAAAATTATAAGTATGCCTTAGCAGTTCATTTATTACTTATTTATACTGTTTTTATTGCTATAAACTACTATTAAGAAATGCATATATTTAATATTAAGAGGAATAGAAAAGAGAGTGAAAGAGTATTGAAGAGAGAAAAAAAAAATCTAAGATTTTCCACATCATCAAACACTGCAATTATATAAAATGAAAATGAAATTGAACCAATTTTTTTTAAAAAAAAAGACGAATTGCACACTAATCCCTAAATTTGAGAACAATTAAACACTTGAGCCTAATATATAATAATAATAATTATTATATATACGCTTTATTAGATGCCAAACTCTATAATACTGTGTACGATATTTAAACCCTTCATCAACTTCTGTGTTGTTCTTCTACTTCTACTCTGTTCACCAACTTCATACACAAACCATGGCAAAGGACAGGACAATTGGTGTGGCTTTGGATTTCTCAAACAGCAGCAAGAATGCTCTCAAATGGGCACTTGAGAACTTAGCTGATAAGGGTGACACCATTTATGTCATTCACATCAGCCCCAATTCTATAGACGAGTCTCGCAACCAGCTATGGGCAAAATCTGGTTCTCGTGAGTATCAATTTTCTGTCAATTTTACTTTTCGGTGTTTATTTATTTTATTCATTTGATGATAACGTTTTAGGAATCTTTTGATCTGGGTTGATCAGATCTGGTCTGATTTCGATTTTGCTTTGTGTTTTTGAAGCTCTTATTCCTTTGCAAGAGTTCAGAGAGCCTGAGATTATGAAAAAGTATGGTGTTCAAACTGATATTGAGGTTCTTGATATCCTTGACACTGCTTTCAGACAAAAGGAGGTGATATTCTTGATTCTACAAATTGAATTCAATTTAGACAACCCTGGTTTTGGGTGTTCCCATGTTTTAGTGTTGTGTCTGAACTTGCCGATTTTTTAGGTGCACATTGTTACAAAAATTTACTGGGGGGATGCAAGAGAGAAACTTCTGGATGCAATTGAAGATCTGAAGCTGGATTCGCTGGTTATGGGAAGCAGGGGCCTTAGCACAATCCAAAGGTGCCTAATTTTGTCCCCTAATTCTCTTTTTCAGCTTCTCTAACCAGTTATTTCAAAGAGAAATGTTTGCATTGATAGATATATATGCTTTTCCTTTTTCTTTTGTTGTGAGTGTGACTTTTCTGTTGGCATTCTTGGAGAGTTTTGCTGATAATAATGTCTTTCTTTGTTGTGATGGATTTTTGTGATCTGCATTTATTGGGGAATTTACCTTAAATGATTTTGGAAAAATTACTTGATGGTTGCAATTGTATACAGAGATTATGGAAATGTGCAAACATTGAAAATGTAAGTAGTCTTTGCTTGCATTAATTTGTTTGAACTGAAGTCTTTGTCTGGTGTTTTTGTTTCTCAGAAGTTGTTACAGGAGTGACAACTTCTAACTTTCTATTTTTCTTTTCAATTCCAAAGAAGTTCATCTCATCGATGTGTGGCCTCTTGTCATCTGAGGTAAGGTTGACTTGGAAGGAGATGGTGGCGGTGGTGTTGGTGTTTGGAGAAGATAATGGAAACCTTTTTCTGGTAATTGTGGAATCCATGTTAAGATGGTGACGGTGGTTGTTGTTTTAGGAAAACAGTTGAGAACTAGTGGCTTGTTGGAGGAGAAGCTCCCATTTGGATTTGAATCAATGGGGACTCCACCCTGTGTTGCCTTAAATTTCAATGGGAAAAAGGAGAGAAAAATATGGAGACTAGGGATGGAGGGAGGGAGGAGAAATAGAGACAAAGTAATAGTAAATGATATTGAAAGAGGGGAATTGAACTTTCATAGCAAGAACAAAAATGAAATACAAGTATCCTTTATATTAGCCTTGAACACTGCAGTATTCCCTTGGATTTTGTTTTTTTAATGCAGATAGATAGACAAATACCACCGGGTCTCCCCACTTGTTCTGTTATTAGTTATTTATTAGCATGATTCATAAGTTTTGAATTATCATAACAAATACCATATCATTTTCTTTAATTTTATACACTTGTTTAACAATAGGGATGCTATTAATAGTACAATTGGGATACATTATTTATAGCAATAGGGATTCAATTTTTCTTATAAATAAAATACTATTATTTGTAGGAAAAACTTGTAAAAAACTAAATGATACATTGGATTAGAACCTCTTTTATTAAAATAATACGACTTATTTTGTTAGTAAACCCATATCAGGCTTGATCATGAAACTTGGTATTTTAGTTATAGTGACATATCAAAACACACCAATTATTTACCATCATATAAAAAATTTATTAAAAAGAGAGAACAAAACAAAAAAACATGGAGGATCGAACCACACCTTTGTACAAAAGTGCAATGTATGACTTATTTATATAAGTAATTTTTTCAAAATCTCCTTGTTATGATAATTTTGGTATAAAATTATATTAATCTCATATATCTCCTATGTTATTGAAATATGAGTCTCATTGACATTCTGTTAAAACACAGGATCATTTTGGGAAGTGTAAGCAACTTTGTGATGACCCATGCTTCTTGCCCTGTGACTATCGTGAAGGAACCAAGCAGCAGCAAGTAAAGATAATCAACTGGGAGAGAACATTTAAGTTTCATATGATATTTTCCTTGCAGTGTTCTTGATCTAGCAGAGTTATATTTCCTTTCCTTAAGTATTTTGGTGGCTGATGAGAATGATAATGAGAATGAGTCTCATGTGATACTTTGTGTATTTTAGCTCTAACTCTTTGACTTTGAAGGAATAATTTAATGTGAGTGACATCAAAATTTTACTTTAAATTTGTGAGATTTATATCAATGTTGTTGACAGTTAACATGTGAAAACAAAATGGATTCATAATCCTAAGTAATTTCTATATTTTGTTGCATATGTTCTTGATATGTTTCGAAGTTTGTACTGCACTGCCATTGTCAAAAAAATATCTTAAGTAAGAAAAAGAAAAAGATTCATAATGAAAAGTTGAAGACCCAATCCAAATGCATTTTCTAAAAATTAATATGCTACGCCATTTCTTTTGACTGTTAGAAGGAAAAAAATCCCTTTGCCGTTTTTATTTTCCAAATTAAATTCCCTCTGGCATCCACATGCAACACGCTTTTGGTGCAACTGAAAGATTTGTAAACCATGAAAGATCCACTGTCATGTGCGCGGCATAGAGTGGTGGGTCAGCAATATTGCAAATTCTGGCGTGATAATCGGAAAAGAGGGCTTTTTTTTTGTAATATTGAAAACTACTTTTAGCAAAATATGTAATAAAAAATAATTTTTTAATAAAATTAGGTGTTATTAATATTTATTTTTCTAACACAATTTTTAACATCCCACTTTGGAAGGTATCATCTTCTTCTTTCTTTCACTCTCCCCCAAACCTAAGCTCATCTACCGCACCAATGCTTTTCTGCTTTCTCGTTCAACCGCCACCACCTCAAAGCATAGCACAAGACGCAAAACGCAAAAGCAGTGTTGGTCAAAGAAAAACGCATAACGCGTTCTGAGAAACACTTCAACCCAAATGCTATAATACAACCATGAGAACTACTTAGAAAAAGGATGGGAAGCAAAACATATGATAAGTAATATCATGACGAAAAACAAAAGCTGAGAAATGCAGAAAAGAGAGATGACAAAAATAAGATGACAAAAATATTTCTTTGTAAATAGTATAGTATTATGTACATTTATCTCTCTTCTTGACACAATATGGTGGATACGGTTTATAAAAAAAAGACAAATTAAGCAATTAAATCTAAAAAAATGTTTTTAATCTTACATAATTAAATAATTAAATAATTAAATAGATATTTTCCAAATACTTCAATTACATAAATTTTTTCGATTTTCGTTCTCTAAAGTGTTGTTCATCTTTCTCCTTCTTATTGTTCGTCCTCTATAAGGTGAATAAAGTTTGTGTTTGTAGAAGACACTCTAACGTTTAAGTCAGTCTCAAACATTTACAAAATATTAAATGTAGTTAATGAGAACCTAAAAAGATACTTTGATGGTTATGTCATTTATATTATAATTTATTATGCCTTAATTGGATAAGCTTGGACTTAGACTTGGTGTCCATTGTAACGCCTCAATTTTAGGGTGTGATGAGTTATTACAAAAATCCATAATTTTTAAATCATTATCATAGCACGAAAACAAATTTTTTGAAAACTCAACATCTAAACATGCATAAATAATTCAAATTATAGTAATTTCAAAAGCAATGTCCAAATTACATTATTCACAATTTTAAAAGTATTCAAAGAAATAAAATAACTCCAACAAGGGTTGTATCCATATGGATTTGGTAGAAAACACAATGTTCTATACTAGCTTGACTTTGAATAAAAACAATAAAAATGGTGCATAAAGAGTGTGGAAACATATTTGATGTACAAAACCAAAGCTATTTTAGCAATATAACATGTTGTAAAATAGTTTGAAGTTAAAAAGGATTGACTTCAAGATAATAAAGGCGTGTTTAAACTATATTTCACCACTTTGTCCCTCTCTTGTAAAGGTTAAGTTATTAGTTATAAAGACATAATTAATCATGTTCTGAGAGTTCTTTTTGAATGTAACTCTAAATTCATTCCTGATACCTAGAGCCTAAGATGACCAAACTTCAATATATTTCTCAATGACTACTTGAATGAATCACTTGCATTATGATAAGGACTCAACCACAACATTCAGTCCTTGAACCAACCTTTTCAAATACCTTTTATCTTTTAGTTTTTAGATTTGTTTGATGGCAAACAAACTGTATAGTTAGGTGTGTTGATAAGTGCCCAATATGAGTTAGTTTTGATGTTAATTTGACACTTATCTTGTTTTTTATTCTGTTAAATATATGTGGAAATCATCCTAATTTTACTTGTTTTCCAAGTTTTGCTAAACTTGGAAATTCAAAGGTGAAATATGAAGAAAATAGAGGAATTTTGAGCAAAATACTACAAACTAACTTAAGCGTGGTTGCAGCGTGGAATTTGAGGCTTGGGCCACATGAAGAAACGCACATTGGGAGGAAACCTCAAGCCTTGACCTGAGGCTGAAACCATGAAGAATCTTTCTACTAGAAGTTATCTCAAGGGGCTTGATCGTCGATGTCGTGCTCGACTCAAATTAATATTACAGATTAAATGAAGTAACTAGGGAGTGACTCCTAAGTTGTCTCTTAAGGACCAATTTTGGTTTAGTCAAAGGATCAAACACGTAATTGGGGGAGGGTGAACAAATTGTGTGAACTAAATTAACTAATTAAAACATGAATTAAAGACAGGTTGGTCACTAGTTCGATTGCGATGCTTCCAATCCCAAATTAACAACAATTACCCACTCCTCTCACCTCTAATTCAACATGAATTAACCAACTAAGTGAAGACTAATCCAGTTTTTATAAAAGCGAATCAAGCAAACGCAATGCACACATTCAATCAATTCTACACCACTACAGATTAAGCAATTGTGACTCTAATCAACTAAGCGAAGATTAAACATAAATTAGACAACTAAGCGTATACCTAATTGCAAGAACATAACAGAATTAAGGATTTTGCAATGAATGAACAATGAAATTATAATGACAGTGCAAGAATCTCAAGGACGCAATTGCAATCTCCCTAATTACCAACCCAAGAAAATTAAGCTTCCATTAAAATGAGTATTAACACACCAAAACGAATTAGAAACATCAAACAGCAGAGGCAAACAAAATGAAGAACATTAAAATGGTAAATGGTATTAAAATTGGAACGAAAATGAGCATGAAATTGTAAAGCGAAATGAGAAAACAAAAACGAAACTTGTTGATAGGGGGAGCACATGTGATAGTTGAACCCAATCCCTGTTATGTTGGTTTTTGATGATGACAACACACTGATAATAACAACACATGAATGTTTTCAAGGAACAACAAAAAGGAGTTTCTGTGTGTTATATCAATGCACATGCTGATTTGAAATTGCATAAAATGTGTGATAAATGCATATATTGAACATACTAATGTGACTGCATACTATGGTGTTTATAATGTGATTATATCTGTGTATGCACAATGTATAATTCTGTGTGATGAATACCACTTGCACAAAAAGCATATATGAATGACAAAATCCATTACAGTGTTGTAATCAACTAAGGTCATCAGACAGCTTATGGTTTTCAACTGTGGCAAAATAACTAGTTTGAATCGATTACATTAGTTGTTGAATTGATTAAAACTCGTGTGTTTGTATATATCATTTTCAAATATGCTGTGATGAGTGTTTGGAAAGAAAAATTTTCAAAATTCTATTAAGTGTTGAAGCTTAATCGATTACATGCATTGTGTATTCAATTAAGTATGTTATGTTTGAAAACTGATTTCTTGCTAGTCATAACGGCTATAACAGTCATATTTTTAAATGTGTTTGACCAGCATTTAATGAGAATCAATTACATTAATTGTGTATTCAATTAAGAGCTAAGTTTGTTGTAATTTTGTTACATCTATTTAATGTAACTAATTACATAAGTTTAATAATCGATTGCTTTGCGTCAGGACTGATATAAACTATATATTGACGCATTGTTTGAAAATCTGTAATGATTGATCATACTTACATTTTCATATCTGATTGATTTCATTTTGAGAGGTTTTACAAATTACTCAAAAGCTCCAAGAATTTCAAACGAGAAGAATTGGATCATCTTGAAGCATTCTTGAGAAGCAATTGAATGGACTACATTGACTGATTGCTTTAACACATCTAAAGGTGCATCTTGATTGATCAGGAGAGAAGACTTGCAATCTTTAATTTGTTGTTTCCCTGGACGTGCGCGTCAAGAAGAAGAATGAGGAGCTCTTGACTTTGAGAGGAGATTCTCAAAGGGTTTTCTACAACAGGGACGAGTGGTTTTGTGTTTGCAGGTGTTGTTGTTTCTATATTTGATTAAGAGTTTGTGAGATGTTTACATTTAAGAGTTGCTCTGTAAAGCCTTGGCTGTAATACTCTGATCATTATAGTGAATTACTCTTCGATTTAAGATTGATTGGGAGGGTGACTGAATGTAGGCATTGAGGTCGAACCAGTATAAAACTGTGTTTGTTTTTCTCTCCTTTATCTCTTTACATTTTCATTGTCATTGAATATACACGTACTGTTTCATTGCACACATATTTGTGTACTGCACAAGAAAGATTTCAAGAACCTTATAGTTTGCGAAAAAGATTTAAAAAGTGCAAGTTTTTATAAAACACCAATTCAACCCCCCTCTTGGTGTTGAGAAACAAAGTCCATCAATTCTAACAAAACTGGATTATGAAATTATGGAAGTGAAATTGTAGTAGAAAAGAGGCAAACAAAAATGAAAATGCAATTGGAAAACGAAAATGAAGCAAGAACAAAAAACGAAATTGGAAATTAAAACGAAAAAGATTCAGTACATAAAGGGAAAAGTAAACAAAATTGAAACCTAAGGAAGAGCCATTGTTCCTACGTTCAACAACACCCAAAACGAATGAAATAGAGAGTCCCATGTTTTTGCTCTCTTGGGTACTAAAACCTAGGCCCCCAATCTGCCCTACAAATGGATCTCTCACTAATTCACTAAAATGCGCCCAATAAGTCAAGTTTGACCCAATTTACATTAAAAACACAATAAAAACGAAATAAAAATACAATGTTGATGTGGGTAATAGAAAATGACATGGCAACTCTCTTTATGTCCCAAAATATAATTCGTAAAATTTCCCTGAAAATAATAATGGAAATAATTAAGCTCAGATAATTCAAATTAAA